GATCCGAAACCGAAATATATCCAAACCGAACTAGACCCGAAACTGAAATATATCCGACTCAAATTGTATCCGAACCGAAATCTATCTGAACCGATTTATAACCGAACCGTATCTGAACCGACTCGAAACCGAACCGAACCGAAAAATGTAAAGAACCGAAATCAAATCAGAACCGAAATTTAACCGATCCGAACCGAACCGAACCGATTATAACATATAACCCAAAGATATCCGAACCGAAAAAATCCAACCCGAAACCGATCCGGTTGATCCGATTGCCACCTCTATGTAACATAAGAATTTACTGAATATCCTTTTATGGGAACTGGAAACATCTCATGCCTCCCTAATTTATCTCTTGGTGTGTGCCCAAACCATGAGATTTGGGAGAATTGTCATAAAATTCTATCCAATTCGAATAATTTAATTTCAACTCAATTCCGACTATCAAATTAATCCAAATGTAGACTAATTATTTTAGCATATGCTCATGTGCACCTAAAACATTGTTTCTTGCAGCCATAAAACTTTACCCAATAATCCCACCACCCTCTACCGCGCATAAAAAACAGTAACCGTGTTTGAAGCATTATAGTGAGTATTTCTTTGAGTAACTATCACTACTGTGACTTTAAACACAAGAATAACATGGTAAGGAGTAATTCTTTGGTAAGTGAATGGTTAACACGTTGGATGGATTTTACTATCCTTAATTTTGTTATATTGAACAACAGATTGGAACTGCCCTCGTTTTTTTTCTCTTTCGCACAAGCATTCGATTATTCTTCAAGAAGAGAGGGCGGTTACCGTTCCCCAAGGACCCACCTGATGGGTTGCGCGGAAAAAACAAGAAACCAATTACTTAAATGCATGGAGTGCGCAAAGCCAAATTCTCAAGGCAGCTTTGGCATTAAACACTACTCTTCTTTTTTAGATGAAAGTGCCAAAAGCTTATTTAGAGAGTTTGCCCAATGTAAGGAGTGCAGTTATTTTTAATAACTTATAATAGAATGTAAAAAAGACTAATTGGTGAATGGTATATTAACATCCTTTTTTGTCTCAAATATATTACTCCCTCATCCCTCCAGAAGTCCAACCCATAAAAAGAAATCAGTTTTACAAGTGTGTAATTTTAAATTTTAATTAGATACAACTAATGACAGTTACAAATTATATATTGCTTTAAGTTTATAATCTGTTGATAGTGTTCTTTGGTTGCCGACCTACCTAGTGTTTCTGCATATTTCTTTCCTAAACATTGTACATAATATAAACCAATTCCACTCATTTGAAACCCATGGGATCAGAATACTAGTGATTGGTTATATAGCTCTTATGTTAACTTACATGGTAATTGGTCAAACCATTATGTTGGACTAGTTCTTTTTTTCTTTCAATCTAAATGAACAGTTCTTTTAGAGGGGTGCTCACTAAAATTAAACCCAACATGGAACCTCAAAAGTTTTTAGTCTTTTCTTTTTTGACTAATGCACTAGATGTAGGGTCATTCATAAGCAAGTTCTTATAAAAATATTATTATAGAGCATTAGGAGATAGTGCAGAGCAATATGATGAAGCAGCAATGGCTATGGATGAGGAGATGACAAGTGAAGAAATGAGGATGTCAAAAGCTACGGGTCTAAGAAGGTGAAGAAAGATCGTTTGGCTCAAGTTTCGTGAACTCATTCCATGAATAATTAAAGTTCACGAAACTTGTAACTGCTTGAGCCAAACAATCTTTCTTCACCTTCTTAGACAAAGAACCTGTTGACACGCTCATTCCTTCACTCGCCATATTCTCTTCCATAGCCATTGCTGCTTCATCATATTGCTCTGCACCATCCTCTAATGCTCTATACTCTTATTTTTATAAAACTAGCTTGTGGATGACCCTGCACAAAGTACATTTGTCAAAAAAGAAAAACCTAAAAGTGCAGTTGACGATGTTGTTCCACAAGCTAATGTAATTGCCAAAGAAACTCATGCCTATAAATCTTTCCAATGATTAGCACCCTTGTTTCATTACCTTGGAATGACCCATTCTCTTGCAGTTCTATTGTACATTTATTTATTTCTAACGCGGTAATTTATTCGAGTCAATTAGGGCCTTTGGTCTAGTCTTTCCCTCTTTTGTACTTTTTCTTTTTCTATTAATAAAAATCTTCTTTCAAAATGTGCAAATTCAAATGACTTACTGTGTGGGGTAAGTATATATATGTCCCGGGGTACCTTCCACACATTGGGAGCTTGCGGCGGCAAGACAAGTGGAGCCTGCGGCTGCAAGACCACGGGAACCTGCACGATGTGGGGCACGTTGGCAACCAAATGGGGCTGCGGGTAAAGGGGCGTGAATTATGGACCAAGGCCAACTAAGTGAGTTTGCGAGAAAGAGGGCACAAGTGGAACGTGCAGAAGTCTTATGTATATATATGCACAAGCTAATGTAAATGCCAAAGGAAATCATGCCTAGAAATATTTCTAAGGATCAGTACCCTGGTTTCATTATTTGGAAATAACCCATTCTCTTGCAGTTCTGTTGTACTTTAGTTGTTTCTAACGTGGTTTTTTATTTCAGTCAATTAGGGCCCTTGGTCTAGTCTTCCCCTTTGTACTTTTCCTTTTTTCAATTAATAAAAATCTTATATATATATATATATATATATATATATATATATATATATTATAAAACTCATCGAACATGTTAACCATTCATTTACCAAAGAATAACTCCTTGCCATGTTATTTTTGTGTTTAAAGCCACAGTATTGATTGTTACTCTTTATCAATGAAATGCTCATTACTATTATGCTTCAAACACGGTTACTGGTTTTTATGCGAGGTAAAAGGTGGTGGGACTATTGGGTAAGTTTAATGGCTGCAAGAAATAAAATTTTGGGTGCAATGAGCATATTCTAAAATAATTAGTCTACATTTGGATTGATTTAATAGTCAGAATTGAGCTAAAATTGAATTATTGGAACTGGATAGAATTTTATGACAATTCTCCAAAATCTCATGGCTCGGGCACACACCAAGAGATAAACAACAGAGGCATCATATGTTTCTAGTTCTTAGAAAAGGAGATATAGGTCTCATATTGTCAAATATTTTGTCTGAATTACAAGTTGCAATCAACCAAATTGAAGATATATACTCCCTCCGTCCAAGATTAAAGTTCCCACTTTGACTTGGCACGGAGTTTAATAAAACTTAAAATTTTCCTTGACTTTCCCAAAGTACCCTCCACTTTACCCCCACTTACCCACCCGTATTGCAGTCCAATCTGTCCAACCATCCCCCCTCTCCCATAATTCGGACAAGAACCAACCAGAGCACTCCATCTACAAAATTGCAGGAAGCCAGAGAAAACTCCGACGACAAAATCACAAGCAACCTTTAAGAAGAAGAACCTTTGTTGATGCTGACCTAAGCAAAGCCAAGCCCCGATGATGCCGCCGGCAGTATCGATGCGGCAGAGCAAACGTAAATTCATCTGCGGCGAATGCGGCTGCGAATCCACCCGCCGATGCTCTCCTGGGCGGCGACTCATTTTGAACCGACGCAGAGAGCAAAGGAGGCGGCGCTAACAGGAGATTGAATGTTAGATCTGATGGCGATTTCAAAATGACTGCTAAAAATCTGAATCGAACCCTGAAGCGAATTTCTTAGATCTGATGGAGATTTGAATCATCTAGTGACCAAATTTGAAGGGGGAGAAGAAAATAAAGAAAAAGAGAAAAAAAGAGAGAGGAAACATGGTCAGTTGAACAAATCAAAAGGGGGAGGGAAGAAGAAAATAAAGAGGAAGAAAAAAGAAGAAGAAGAAGAAGAATAAGAAATAGAGAAGAAGAAGAAGGAGAAGAGAAGAAACAATCTGGAGAGAAGAAAAAGAAGGGAAGGAAGAAGGTCCTCGAGAAAAGAAAAAAGGAGAGAAGAAAAGGAAAGGAAGAGAAAAAAGAGGAAAAAGAGAAAGGGGGGAGGGGGTTGCTGCCGACAGAAAGGGAGGAGGGAGAAAAAAAGAAATATGAAGTAAGGGTATTTAAGACATTTTAACAAAGAAAAGTTTCCAAAATTAGAAATGGGAACTTTAATTGTGGACATCCTGAAAAGGAAAGTGGGAACTTTAATTTTGGACGGAGGGAGTAAATCTATTGCAATTGACCAAAAAATAAGAACCCAGCTTAAATTGAAGAAATATGAATTTATCTCTATAACTAGGGTATCTGAATACAAATTAAGCAATCACAATTATCGAGTGTGAGTGGTTGTAACAGTGAAGGGGATAACTGAAGCAACTTTTCGAATCGTAACTACGGGAGCAAAGCGACAATGATGGTCGGTGATGAGCAACAGTGATAGGCAATGATGAGCGACAGTGATGAGCAACAATAATAGGCGGTGATGAGCGACGGTGATGAACGAAGGTGATGAGCAGCTTTGATGGACGAAGGCAAAGAAGTGAATGAGATGAGCTAGCGGTGAAAGTGATGAGCAAAATTACAAAAATAAAGGACGAGTTTTAACTGGCCACTAATTCAAATGACATTGGAGAGGGTATGAATTTGTGGTTGAGTTAGTGGATAATTAGAAGAATTTGGATCAAATTCAAATCCAAATTCTTTAAATTGCCAAACATGATATTTGGACCAAATCTAGATTTTAAATCCAAATTCATGTTCTCAAACAGGCTATTATGGAATTTCAATTTATAGAATTGGAATTCAAGAATTGAAATGAATTTCCATATCCAAACATGGATAATGAACACTAAATTCCACACAAACTGGAAAACTAAATGGAAGGTCAGAGGTTTTAACGTTAGTGGCAAAGGTCACACATTCACTGTCGTTTTTCCAAATGAGAGGTCACAAGTTTGAATTCCAGTACGGGTGTTAACTTATTGTTGTTTAGTAGGTTGAGATATTAAAGTACGTATAAACAACTTATATACTTAGAATTAATAGTGCTCAAAAAATTGCAAACGAATATATGAAACTAACCTAAGAAGAAGTGGCGCAAGATTCAGGCCTCCGTACAATGTATAATTTATCATCAAGTATGTTTTCCTTGTAAACATCCTGATTCCTATGCCAAGTCCATAATGCATGAGTAGAATTCTCAACCTGCATGGAAGAAGAAGAATTGGGAAGCAAAGTCATTTACATAAATGCACAATATATGTTAGTAATTGTGTGTGAAGGCTGGGGTCTTATAGCTTAATTTTATATTCAATTCTTTGACAACAAAGTTGCCAAATAGGTTGAGTTCAAGGGCGGTACATTCAGATTTGATCATTTTGGATTTGGATAAAAATTGCTTGATTATGAACCAAGTGTTCGGGTTTAGATTGACTCAACAGATTGGAAGCATTATTTTTTACAATTTTATTATCATGTTCCTTTGGCAATGTCAAATAGTATTTTATGATAATCACATTTAGGGAAAAGACAACTTCCAAATAAATCAGAGTAGAGGGCATTCGGGGGGATCTGGTCAAAAAATGTATATTTCAAAAACTAGTATTATCAAGTTGGGAAACAGATAAGTAACAGGTGAGATCAAATTTTACAAATGTTTCAAGAATAAAGCTAAAGATAGATTTACCTCAAGTATTCCATGTCCAAAACTGCTCTCTCTATATGCACTCCATTCTGGTTGTCTGTCCCAGCAAAACTTGCCTTTGGCAGGGCCAAATGAGAAGTTCATGTGACACACACCTCCATATTCCGGTATATTATCCACGTCGGATGGACACTTTCCATAGTCATCTGCAAAATCAACATCGATTTTCTCAATGTTCCCACCGTCCCCCACTGTTATGTACACTGGCCCACAAGGATCTAGACTATAGTTGTACACGCGGTTCGTCCGCTCATACGCATGAACCTGACACAATATTTTCACGAGGCATCAACTCCAACAACCACCCAGAAAGGTCGTACTAAGTGTAAAGTTGATTTTTAGACATCCAAAAATGGAAATTGTAAAGTTACGTGTCCAGAAAAGACAATGTCAACTCCATATTCATATAAGAGATGTTCCATTTCTAGCCTCATGCATTCGAATTCCTGGTAGTGTGATGAGTAGCTGTTATACCACGGAGGATGCCACGCGGCAACAAGCCATGGGGTTACGCTGCGATTGAATTTCTTCAAGTCTTCCACAAGCCAGCTATATTGGGAACCTGAATGGAAAAATGGAAATTCAAAGGCAAATTGATGGAACCAACTCAACCAAAAACTCAAATTCTTGGTTGTAGTCCCAAGAATGGTTTTATACTCTAACGATACAAATGTATCACATTCAATCACCAGTTCTATTGTAGTCAACATAGGCTCCGAGCATAAGGAAATGCACTCCGCCGGCATTGAATGAGTAATAGAAGTTACTCATCGATCTTGATTCATTTGAAGGAACAGAGAATCGTGTTGTATATGACATGAATGTTATTCCTTCTGCTTGGGGCTCAATCTCATGGTTTCCTTCTATGACCATCATTGGTATTCTTGAGGTCAATGGCTCCATAAACCTGGATTCAAATTCAAGTTACATTGTTAGAAGTTAGAACATGTCAATTAAGAGCCCGTTTGACAAGCCTAGAGTTTAGCTAAAGTGAACTTTTTTTAGACTGCCAAGAAAAGGAAATAATGATTCAGTCAAATGTAAAAAGGGACGAATTAATTTACCTTCCCCATCCATCCCAACGAGGTTGATACGTCTCTCTGATGGGTGAATCAGGAAACTGACATGAATAACAGGAAGCTGCTTTCCCACCAGTCGTAACGTACTGATTTGCATAAGCCATGTCCCCAACCATCAATACCATTGAAGGAGCGTTTGCGATGAGATGATCAATGGTTGCAGTTGAATTGCTTGTGAGGCCTAGATCTCCAACCACAGCTATTCGACGAGGATACTTATTAGGCCCAGGCAAAGGCATGGTCTCAAACGCATGCTCCTTGCTCATTGAGGGTAAAGAACTGTCTCCACACTTGTAGTAATACTTCGTCTCCGGTTCAAGACCTAAACCAGACAAACAAAGCTGCTCACTTTCGAAGCAACTAAAGAGATTCGAGGACTTCTCACTTTACTAACAACAACAACAACAAACCCCAGTAAAATCCCTAAAGAGTAGGATCTCGGGAGGGTGTGTGTATGCAAACCTTACCCCTATTTGGAAGTAGAGATAACTTTTCACCTTAAATGCGATGAAGAAATTCCAATGGACTATTAGTACATATCTGACTACAAACTTACCATCATTAGCTTCAACAGCCTTCAAGAATCATATCCTAATAAGACAACTTTTTAATGATCAATTGTAGTATTGAAGAGGACTGCATTACATACAATTAAGGGGAGTTTTGTGAAGTATTTACCATCAATTCTAACATGGTGAATAATGCCAGAAGTGTAATTCCATAGACCTTTAAATGGATACAACTGGCTATAAATCATTGAAACCCCAGATTTAGTCTTTGTGTACACCCCACTTGATTTCCCATAAAACACCTCACTTCTTACTTTTGTTGGGTCGAGTGGCGTGACATTCAATCCAATCTGTGATTCCCCTGAAACCAATAAACACAGTTCTAATAAAGCTAAAGAGAAAGATCTCAGAAAAAACTAATCAATTGAAACCAAATTTTACTGTGGTTAAAACCAAGAATGTATACAAAGAGACCCTCAAATTCATTCTGACCTGCAATTTTACTAGCGATTAGAACAGAAATAACTCAATCAGCCAAATCAAATCTCTAGGGGTATAATACCTTATATCAGTATATACTTACTATAACCAACTACACAATCATTATCTGCATATCAGTCAAATACCAATGCAAAGCTCTTCAGCTCAAGAACTAATGAAATTCAGGAAAATAAAACCAGCTTAGTGATGTAGGAAATGTCAAAACCAGAGAGCATACATGATACATACCAGTGACCCAAGAAACCCAGATAGAAGTAGGGGTGGATAAAGCAAGAGCGATCTGTTCAGGAGACATGGAAGTGGCGTTCCTCTTGAGCCTGGGATGTTCCATGGGCAAGTCGTCACTGCCTGGGCGCAACGAACGGTCGAACCTCCGAGTAACCGGCGTGAAAGGGCCATCCGCGGTGCTGGGTATTAACCATTCATCCAGGTCCGCCGCCGCCGCCGCAGCCCAAACCACCAAGAAAAATGCACCAATAATGGAACTCATGAGCTGCAATTGAGGTCCCATCTTCTTTTTTTTCTTCTGCAATAGAACACTTTACAAGTCCATGGGCCGTAATTTTGATGGTTGAAATCCCTAAGAACGTCGCATGCTGATCACGAATGCATCCCCTCGAATTGGATCCTGACTTGTCAACAATGGTCTCGATTGGCATGCAGGGTCGTGGCTAAAGAGGAATTTTAATAGCACTCAAATATAATAATTTTATCTAAATAGCACACATGGGTGGCCCGGATGGTGTGCAAAGTGGCCAACCGCACAAGGACCTTTAAAATTTAGGGCACTATATTTTTAAATTTGTTAATAATTTTAAAGCAAAAACATTCTAAAAATATAAAATAGGGCACAAAATATAAATTTTAGACCGGGCCAATTTTATTTTTTCATTTTTCAGGGCCGGCCCTGATAGCACCATATGTGTTTTTCTTCCTAATTTTCTTAAATAGCACTAAAATATAATGACTACTCAGAACATTTTTAGCAATCAGCCAACACATTCAGCCAGTCAAATCAGCTAAACTCAATAGCTACTCAGAACAGCTGACACAAATAGTCAACCGCAATTTCCTAACAAGGCCTATTACGGAGTAGTACTTAGTACTTTCTCTGCCCCCAATTAATTTTTTAGGTACTATTACGATTTCTTGATAAATCATGTTTGAATGCTTGTTTTCATTAATTGTTTGATAAAATAAAATATTTTTGTTTTGTTGAATTTTGAATAAGGCTTTGAATGATTTATTTATATTTATTATTTTTTACCAATTTGTAAAGAATTAAATTTTAAAAGATTTTACATGTTTTTTCTAAATGAGAAAAATAAATTAGGAAATAAAGAATAATACCGAATAGAATATTTCCAATAATTTGTAGGTCTATCCTATTGAGACTTTGTGTAGGCCATCACATGCCTATGTTCTGAGAGAAGTAGTAGTGAAGTACCCTCCAAAATTATCACACATTCACACCATATGATGTGTCGCTTCATTTGTTTTATTCTCTAGGGGTACTATTTGTAACATTCTTTTTAGGAAAAATTACCCAAAATAATCCCAACTTTACCCGGTCTTTCAAAAATAATCCCATCTTTCACTGTGATGCATAATAATCCCAACTTTATTGAAATTTGCCAGTTTTGGGTCGCCGTTAAGTTTCTAACGGAGGGTTAACGGAAATGCCCGTTTTAAGCAACAAAATGAAAGTTGAGATTATTTTTGATGATTTTTTTTTTAATTTTTTTTGAAATTTTAATTTAAATTTTTTGAATTACTTTCAACCTCCATTTCTTTTTCTTTTTTAAAGATTATTCTTACCTTAGAAAAAAAATAGATATAAAAAATAATAAAAATGAGAAAAATAACTAAAACCATACAAAATTAATCAAATAAATAATGTAATCAATATAAATTAAAAAGAAACTGGTAAGAAATAAAATAAATATATACGGAGCGGTGGGTTTTAACATTTTACACACTATACGGAGTCTTAATGTACTACTTATGTTTTAAAAGAACAAGTCGTCTGGTAAAGTTAGAATTATTTTAGTTAATTTTTTCTAAAAAATAAGAAGTGATATGTTAATATTTTGTATAATGCGTAAAATATTAAAATCCACCCGTATATTTTTATTTTACTTTTACCAATTTCAAGTTAGTTTCCATTGATTACCTTATTTATTTTATTATTTTTGTATCATTTTAGTTACATTTCTCATTTTTTCATTTTTTATATCTATTATTTTTATTTTTTAAACTAAGACTAATCTTTAAAAAAGGAAAACAAAATGACGATAAAGGTAGAAAGTAATTTAAAAAATTTAAATGAAAAATTAAAAAAAAAATGAAAATTCATAAAAAATAATCCCAACTTTCATTTTGTTGCCTAAAACGGGCATTTCTGTTAACCCTCCGTTAGAAACTTAACGGCGACCCAAAATTGGCAAATTTCAGTAAAGTTGGGATTATAATGCATCACAGTTAAAGGTTGAATTATTTTTGAAAGACCGGGTAAAGTTGGGATTATTTTGGGTAATTTTTCCTTCTTTTTATTCGGGGCCAATCTTTTCATTCTACTATTCTAGTGGTCGGATATGGTATTTTTATTGTACTTAATTTTTTTAAATTTTAACCAAAATTATGAGAAAAAAATATTGAATTATAATATAAATTTAATATCAATAGATTAATTTTGAAATGTAGCTTCAAAATATCATACTATTTTATAATTTATGTTTATATATAAATAATGATACTAATGGTCAAAATATTATATTGAAGATCATGAACAAGTCAAATAAGATCGGAAGAAAGATATGAGACAAAGAGACTATTGTATTACAAGTATAATTTAACAATAAATTTTTTTAATATTGTTGAAATTAATGACACCAATATTGATTACGATATCAATTTATGCATTATCAAATGACATAAAGCTTTTGATAAAACAAAACTATTTATTAAATTGGAATTCAATATTATCATATCGAACACTTATGATAAAACAAAACTATTTATTAAATTGGAATTCAATATTATCATATCAACACCTAAGATACTTCGTTACAATGACATCTTCCAAACCACTCAACTCCACCTTGTTATTTTGATAAACTTTTATTATAGCAAAATGACAAAATAGAGAGAAGGGCAAGAGAGATTTGAAAGAGAAGGGTAGGAACTACTTTAGAGAATATCGTGGGTGCCCAAACGGTCTAATGTACAAAGAATGGGAGATTAATAAAGAACATAAAACAATAATGAAAATCCTTTAATTTTTAGTCCTACAATGACACACTTAATTTTTTAGCAGCTTCTTAAGCAACACATAATAATAAAAAATATTGTGTCATGTCAATATGCAATATGACATTGTCAATAGTTCTATTATGGGATAATAACATGTTATTCCTCTTTTGAGAATAAATTAAAGTCATATTTTGCTTCTATTTTTGGCCAAAAAATGTCAGCCCTTAACACATGGTTTTAGGTCATGTGTTATGACGGGCTTGACGGAGCGAAAATTTGTATGATGTGGAGTGATAAAAATGAGTGTGAAGGAATACAATGAGATGTAAATGCGTGCTAAATTTTGATTGCTTGAAATTATAAATAAATAAAAAAAGATGAGGGTGACGGAGGAAAGTGCCACGCCCTCCTCACGAAAGTCCATCGCGATCGAAGTGTGTCAAGGGGCATGAAGGAGGAGGTAAGCCCTCTTCATGCCACAACATATGGCCTTATGAAAACACATCTTTTACATGACAATCATGTTAGGGGTACGCTAAGAAATATACTCCAAAGAAATGCACCGGCATTTTCACGATTCACACTAGTATAAAATGCTAGTATAATTTGTTAGAGTACATCCCACATCGGAAATCCAAGAATAAAATAATCGGTATATAAGCTCTAAAGTTGAACTAACTAATAGATTGAATCCAATCGATTAGTTAGTTCAATTCTAGAACTTATATACCGATTATTTTATTTTTGGATTTCTGATGTGGGATGTACTCTAACAATTTGAAAAAATTATACTAACATTTTATGTCATTATAATCAATTACACACATAAAATATTAGTGCATTTCTTTAGGATACAAAGTGAAATATAATTTTTGGGTTACAAATACCTTAATTCTCTAGGTACTTCCATTTTCTCTAACGAATTTGAAGTCTCAATCTCTCTCTCAATCTACAAATCCCCCGTCTTTTCTTGCCAACTCTTGTGAATATGTTCTTTTGCACCCTTTCAGATCTGATTATTTACTGCTCATTTGCTCAAGAAACGCCTAGCTTTTTGAAAACCCATTCTGTGTTTGAACTTTGAGCATAAATCTCTAGCTCTTGCGTCTGGTTTATCCTCCAAGTCTGATATTGACAATACAAATTCATTTTCTTTACACTAAAAAGAGAAAGAGAGTAAAAATTCTGAGGGGGTTTCCACTTTCAAGTCTTCAATTTGATTAATTTAGTCACTGGTTTTGAAGCTGCACTTATTGCTTGAAGAAGGGAATTGTGAAGAGGAGGGTAAAGATGGAAGTTCAAGGTTTAGGGATTTTGGGCCTGCTTATTTTCTTGGTGTTTCTCAGCTTCCCCAACAATGGTGAAGCTCAGACAAAATCTTTTTTCATAAACTGTGGTACAAATTCCAGTTTAAATGTTGGTGGCAAACAATGGGTGGGTGATACCACCTCTGGAAACAATATGAGTCTCAGTTCTCATGGCATTGAGGCCTCATCCGCTGCGTCTATCAATGGCAATCTGGTGGATTATGCACCACTCTACAGAACTGCCAGATTCTTTTCTGAAAGTCTTAACTACACATTCCTACGACCTCCCGGGAAGTTTTTCCTTAGACTCCATTTCTATCCCTTTGCGTTTCGGAACTACAATATGAATGAGTCATACTTTAAGGTTGTGGCTAATGGCTTGAGATTACTCTCCAAGTTCAGTGTTACAGGTGAGATCTTGCAGAAGAACTCTCATGTTTCAACTAGCAATTCCAGCTTTATGGCCTTAGTCAAGGAGTATTTCGTTCCTGTTGAGTCAAATGTTTTTGTCATTGATTTCATCCCGGACAAAGGGTCGTTTGGTTTCGTCAATGCCATTGAGATTGTAGCTGTTGTTGATGGGCTTTTCGTTGATGTTGTGAACAAAGTGGGGAGGAATGGTGGCAAATCCTATTTGAATTTGAGCAAACAAGGGATTGAGACTATGTATCGGTTGAACATGGGTGGTTCAATGATCAAACCTCTTCAAGATTCAGTGTTTGGGAGGACATGGGAAGAGGATTCGGGCTATATGATCAATTCAAACGCCGGGTCAGAAGCCAGAAACAAATCTAGTATCACATATGCCTCCCCAAACGACACGTCCATAGCTCCCCTTCTTGTCTATGAAACAGCAAGAACGATGACCGACACTTCAGTCCTGGAAAAGAGGTTCAATATGTCATGGAAATTGGAAGTGGATCCAGATTTTGAGTATTTGATACGTTTGCATTTCTGCGAGCTAGAGTATGATAAACCAAGACAACGTATCTTCAAGATCTACATAAACAACCAAACAGCAGCAGAAAAGGTTGATATTTTCACACGAGCAGGAGGGAAGAACGCAGCATATCATGAGGATTACTTTGATGTGATGCCCTCCAAAAGTAAGAGTCTTTGGGTGCAAGTAGGTCCAGACTCATCGATGGGTTCCCAAGATGCGGATGCTATGTTGAATGGGTTGGAGGTATTTAAGTTGAGTCACAATGACAATCTTGCCCCCATACAAAACTTTGGGGACGCACAAGGCAAAAGACGCTCCAAAACCGCGATCATCTGGATGGGAATTGGAGCTGGAATTGTGTTCATTATGGTTTTTGCAGGAATAGCTCTACTGCTCACCTGTCTGTGTAAAAAGAAGAGAGGCAATGGCAAGAAGAGTACTTCTCCATCACGATGGCGTCCGTTATTCCTTCACGGATCTATAGTGAGTAACAATGGCAAAGCAAAGGGATTGACTTGTGGGTCCCTTGGGACTATAAGATCCGGGAGGCGGTTTTTGCTTACGGATATCAAAGAAGCAACAAACAACTTTGATGAGAGTTTGGTGATCGGAGTGGGTGGGTTCGGCAAGGTATACAAAGGGTACATAGATGATGGTACCTTAGCAGCAGTGAAGCGATCCAACCCACAATCTCAGCAAGGTCTTGCAGAGTTTGAAACAGAAATTGAACTACTCTCAAAGCTAAGACATAAGCATCTGGTATCCCTGATAGGGTTCTGCGATGAACAAGACGAGATGATCTTGGTCTATGAATACATGTCCAATGGGACTCTCAGGAGTCATCTGTTTGGCAGTGACCTACCACCACTGAGCTGGAAACAAAGACTGGAGATCTGCATAGGTGCTGCTAGAGGGCTGCATTATCTCCATACCGGATCAGAACGCGGCATCATTCACAGGGATGTGAAGACGACCAACATACTGCTAGATGAGGACTTTGTAGCCAAAATGGCGGATTTCGGTCTTTCCAAAACGGGACCCACTTTGGACCATACCCATGTGAGCACGGCAGTGAAGGGAAGCTTCGGGTACCTTGATCCAGAGTACTTCAGGAGGCAGCAGCTCACAGAGAAATCAGATGTGTACTCATTCGGTGTGGTTTTGTTCGAAGTCGTCTGCGCAAGAGCTGTGATAAACCCAAGCTTACCAAAAGATCAAATCAATCTTGCAGAATGGGCAAGGAGATGGCAAAGGCAAAGATCACTGGAAACCATCATTGACCCACAACTAAAAGGGAAGTATTCTCCAGAGTCACTGGCGACATTTGGCGAGATTGCTGAGAAATGCCTCGCTGATGAAGGGAAGACCAGACCGACAATGGGTGAAGTTCTATGGCACTTGGAGCATGTCCTCCAACTTCAAAAGTATTGGCTGCAGTCTAATGATGGGGAAAAATTGGTCGATGATGCGTCTGCTCCAAACGCCTTTGAAGAGAAAGAAGAACCTGAGAGAGTATCAAGAACAATTCTCTGAATGGAAAGGCTATGGTGGAAACTTCAGCAAACACAACAGATGATTCATATCCTACCGCTTGTTTGGGCTGAAGAATTTCAAAGTTGATGAATTGGTAAGCTTTGACATGGAAAAGGTTTGGGCTATGTTTGAGATCGGCTCTTCAATTCTTTCATTCTTTTATGTATTTTAATTATTTGGGAGGACAGATTTAATGGTCTCGTAGCTTCAAGTCTCTACATTATCCTCATGCTAAGGATCTATTGATTGAATTCATCCGAAAAGTTATCCATTTGCTTTAAGAAATCAAAAGGGAAGTTTAATTCGCTATCAAATTTCCGCGGCTTCAAAATTTTTCAGTATGTCACGTCAGCTTTAACTTACCTCACAGTTTCACTGGAAATGGGTATGAAACCCTGGGTCTTCAAACCTTAATTTTCTTAATTTTTTATTATATATTTTATAAAATTAAATTAATAAAACTTCATCATTTAAACGACAATAATTCATTAAATAAAAATAATTACCTTCAATAAAAAAGAACATTTAATTAAAAAAATACATTAATTAAAAACCTAAAACAAATTATATTTAGCCTTGATCTCGTTATGTCTTTTCTCGAAAGTAAATTATATTCGCTTGCTCGTTTGACTCGAGACCGGACAAAGGAACATTAAAACTGAAGAATTCATGTTAAAAAAATGAAAAAAATTGAATATTTTTTTTAATTTGAAGAAGAGAGAGGAAAAGATTTTGTGATTATTTTTTTTAAATTGAAGAAGAGAGAGACTTTGTTTGTGAGTTTTATTTTTAAAAATGAGTTAATTTATAGAAGAGATTTTTTTAGTTTGTAACAGCTTGTAGCCATTTGAATGGAGAGATTCACTGCAAAAACGCCCGTTAAAAGTTTGACGCAGTATGAATAATGTCCGGAAGAAGCCCCTGGGGCCGGTGTTTAACACCCCTCAGGCGTTAAAACGGAAATGATGTCGTGGGACGTTACGACCATTACCATTGCCCTTATGAAACTCATCGGTTCATAACAAAAGAGAGAAAGAAACTCATCATTTCATGTTTATATCTATTTATTTATTGATTTTTACAAATGTTTAGGGTTTAAGGGAGTTAATACTAAAAGTGATACTTTTCAATAAAAAATATCATTCTTATTGAAATTGAATGGTACTTTGAACTATTATTGACATGAACAATGAACTTTGATTTGCAAGTTCATCCATTCTAAAGACTATTACCCAGTTTATATCGAAAAATAATGATTTCACATCTCCGACAAAACTAAAATTCATTATTTTTTGGCTTTGGGGTTTGATGGAATAAAGCAAAATGGTTCTTTAGTCAATGCAACTTCCAATGCTCATCATTGGTGATCTGGAAACCACCGCTCTATGTTTAAAACAGTCAAGGTACATGATTACCCGTGGTACTTGAGCAAGGGTCTCTTTCGAAACAACACTTCTCCCTTCGAGTATGGATAAGGTCTGTGTACACATACCCGCCCCATACCCTACTTTTATGGAACTCAACTGGGTTGTTGTATTTCTACAGCACTATGGGTTTTTCAAATACTACCCTACACACCACTAGAAACGGATAGCAAATTTGAAACACTGTATAGAACAAAGCATTTGCCAGTTTGTCACTAATTTCCAGATTATGAAATGAAATGCAAAGAGAAGCTTGATAACAACAACAGCTAGCCATATTGCAGAAAAGATTTATAAATATATCCAGAGAGAGAGAGAGAGAGAGTAAACTGCAAAGGGATACAAGCACAGCCAGGGGCTGCTGTATTGTTTTCAACAGAAACATAAGACACACAAAACTAATTCCAAGACTGAAAGAAACCTAAACAAGGCCATCCCACAGACATTCTTTCCCAGTATTCTTGCCCTCAAGGATGCTCAAAAGATCATTGGGAGGGTTCAGACCAAACTTCTTTGCACGCTCCCACCGCGCCAGTCTGCTTATTCCCAGGCATGGCCCATACACTAAGTTCATGTCAAATTGCCGCAACACATTATCATTCTCTTCATAGTCCACTGCCAAAAAAGATAACACATAAAAAAAAACTTAGCTCCGTCCTTCTTTGAAGAAGGTATATTAGTATTAACAAATTACATCACCCCTCACACCCCCTTTGACACCGACTTCATGTTCATTTGCTGACACACAAAATGCTTGTGTGAAAGCGGTGTGAATGTTGTGTAAATGCACAATTTCTTTTTGAAGATATATATATATATATATATATATAGATGTTCATAATGATAACTTCAAAACTAAGTTTTTTTGAGAGCTATGATGACCATTTCAAATGATTATTCCACCCACATTATTCGCTCAAACCAATTCCTTTAGAGCAATAATAAATTGTTTGCGCCTGAGCAAGGCATAGTATCTGAAACTTAGCTCCGTTTGGTACACAACATTCAAGCCATGGAATTGCAATTGAGGATTTCAATTCCAATTCAGTTGTTTGGTAGCAAAAAAATATGTGGATTTGGAATTAGTAGTGCAAAAAAATGATTTGAAAATTGGAAAATTCAATTCATTCCAATTCAACTCCATTGAACTTTAATTCCAATTCCGTCAATTCCATGGACCAAACGGATCCTTAGGGTTCAATTTTCTCTGCTAAATTGCACCTTGCAGTCCTTTCCCTTAGATTAGGGTTTCCACAATACATTTATATGCGTGAATTAGACTGAAGATTGTTAAGGATTGTTAAAATTGAGTTTATAGTTTCGAAAGGTAGTGAAAAGAGATACAGATACAGAGATATACCTTGTAGATCGTGAGAGCCATGGGAGACGAGAGCCGGAGGTTGAGGGGCGTCAACGCCGGCGGAGATCATCGGCGTAGAGCAGGAAGACTTTGACTTCGCCTTTGACTTCGCAATACCCTTCTTCTGTTGCTTGAAGAATCCCTTCATGTTTGATTTCGTCGCCATTTTCGTCTCTGCGTTTCTGCTTCGAATTCAAATTTTTGAAATGCAGGAGATGTGGAAGACTCGAAGTAGTGCTATATACTAGCCCATAGTTGGGTGTTCGGGCCAAAGCAGGTATTGGGCCGGGGTTTTGGGTGAACGTTTCACACTTTAACAATTACTCTCACCGTCCCAAATTTAATGTATCTGTTCACATGATCAAATTTTATTTACTCTATTTCTTTATTTTGTTGAGCAATTAATTAAGAGATTAAGACTAAAGTAGGACTGAAACATTAAAAATATACCAAAATAGGACTTCCATGTTTTTATTCCCGAAATAAGACTCACATTACCAAAAACATGGTCATGTACATTACCAAAAAAGTATAGTAATGTGCACATGTGCAGTGTCACATTACTACAGTGCAAAGTCATATTTCACGAAAAAAAGACGAAAGTCCGATTTTAGTACTTTTCTTTATGTTTTAGTCCTATTTAAGATGATTCTTATTTAATTAAATATTATATTCATCTCACCACAAGTTTTATACTCCCTCCATTCTCAAAAACTCTTCCTTTTTCATTTTTTTACTTCCAACAAAACACTTCCACTTTCTATTAAAAAACTACTTTTACCCTTACTTTTCATACCCTACCTATCACATCATACTTTTTCTCTAATACTCAATCTATCACATCTTACTTTTATCCATCACATCAAGGGCAAAATTGGAAGTCAACTATAATTTAACACTTCCTTATTTTTACACAAAGTCAAAATAGGAACACTTTTATAGAACAGAGGGAGTATATCTTTTAATGTAGTTTTTAATTATGTACCCCGGAGTATCTTTTATTTTTAATTTGACATCGTTTTTCATATACTACGTAAAATGATTTTAAAATAACTTCAATTAAACATTATAAATCGGAACATGTGATATTAATTGGGACAGAGGGGTTGTATAATGAGTATGAGATTGTTTTAAAAAACATTATGATTCTTTTGACTTTAAAAATGAGAAAAAAATGACTTGGGTACTTAGAATTTGTTCTTTTCGATTGGAGTTCTAAATTTGGATATCGAAAGAAAGTCAAAAAATTAATTTGGAGCTTAATTAGGATTTGTTCCTTTCAATTGGATAACGAAAGAAATTCGAAAGAGTAAGAAATTGTTAGAAAAGTTAAAATGTTAAAAATTACTCAATTAAGTTATCACCTAAATAAATACAAATTATGTAACAAAGTTCTAACTATAAATTTAAAAACATTCATTCTTGTCTGCGTTTAAGGCGGTATGCTATAAATTTGGATATATAATATTATTGTATATTTATCATATATAAATATTTTTTTAAGTTGTTTGAATAAATTGAGAGGAGTTGGAAAAAGTTAGAAGTAAACTTTTTCAACCCAAAATAACATGCTCTTACACTGTTACGTTGGTAAAACTAATGATTCTTACCCCACATAACCTCCTCTAAGCCCCCCTGCCCGTCTCCATCCCCTAGCCTGTCAGTACACTGAGCACCGTAAGTGTATGGGTTGGGGACAGCAAGGTTGGTGTGAGGGTTTAAGAGGGGGTATGTATAATTATTTTTACCGACGGAACATCATAAGGGTCCATAATATCCGCAATAGAACCTCGTTGCTTTAAAAATACTAGGGTAACTTTTAAAAAGGGTTGAACTCAACCCCTAGAGTTCTCCAAAATTGGTTTGGTCTAGAGGCAAAGATGTGGTAAATTGAGCTGCAATTTTAGTCTAACTGAGAAAGTGTAAGTATGTCTTGATACGTGCAAAAATCTTATGCAAATCAGAATTATTCTTTATCTTAAAAGGTATTAGGGCAATTCTCATGAAAAAAATTTATCGTAGACTTGAGGTTTAATTTACACAGTCTACCATGGAAATAACATACTTGAAATTCGTGAATGGATATCTCTGTACTAGCAAGTCTAGTTGTATTTGAGTTCATAGCTCTAGATAAGTATAAAGACAGAGTTGAAGCACAAACCCATTTATAAGAAGAGATTTAATGACAAGACAAACCGATTCCATTGATTTAAATCTATTAAGATTTTTAATCAACAATAAAATGTGCAAAGAGAAAATATATAATTATAGTAAATCTAGAAATGTCTTTCATAGAAGAAAAATCATTACACGACTTCTTAAGAATAGGATTATCAAAATCGATTATGTGGAATCAAAGGATAATTTGGCGGATCTGCTAGCTAAAGTCTTAAGAAATGAGTCACATAAGAAATTTGTAGCAATAACGGACATGAAGTCATTGTGCTATGAAAATCCTATTAAGACGTAATCCAAATAGATTGATAGCAAGTTGAATGAGAAAGACCTACTTGTAAGATGAAGCCATCACTGTGAGTGCAGAATTAAAATTAGTATTCCATCTAGTGATTCTCCAAACATGGTTAGGAGAGCATATGCAATATTTTAATGATTCTTGAAAATTAGATTGATTGGTCTAAGTAAAGTAATCGAGATACTCCTAGAATAATTGTATAAGAACAGTAAAGTAGGGTTGCTTCACACGAAAGATTCAATAATTAGTCCATGTTTTCTTCAACTTTTTCTTTTTTACTTATTAATTATTCTTATTAGAATCAGATCAGATCAGAAACAACTTTAAATATAAATATGTTCAGATTAGATCTGATCAAATTAGAATTTATTCTAAGCAGATCAAAACTATTCAGATCAGGTGAAACAAACATGACCGGGATTCTATGGATACCCTCGCAAAACTGTACGCGTGCCCCATGAACATAATGGCCCCAACCATGACAACAAAACGACATATGACTATTGTTTATACAAAGTACAAACAAATGTATATTTTAAAGACACCTTGTTCTAGTGAGCATCCAGTAAAGAAAAATATAAAACGACATAAAATTAAATAGTAAGTTTCAACTAACAATATACCGAGTATAAAGAAAATAATATAAAGGTGACACGTAAGATTTATCCACAATAAAAAATAAAACAAATAGAAATGCAATAAGTTTTAAACACTCAAAACATGTGAACAAAAAATACATGGAATATAAGAATTTAGGGGTTTTAAAAACTTAATGAAAGTTGGGTTGGGGCGGTCCAATCAAATATACTGACCCAAACTCGATCCGACAAGAGTCGGATTTGGTTTAAATTTTTTTGAATCAATTTTGCATATTTAATATTTTGGTTCGGATCTGAATATTATAAGCTTCGGTTGGGTCGGTTAAGATTGGATTCAGATCGAACTGGAAACACAATGTATTTTATCGGCTAGGTTCTACAGCCAAGTGGCTACGGTCTACGGAAGTCACTCACCCAATTGAGATATCTACAGTGCTCCGTTCACAAAATTGGTAGTTTCTTCGGATAAACCCTCATACTCGATTCCGACCTCAACTCATCCCCAACCATGCCGATGGCGGGGTGCATGTTTGGTTGACAACCTAGCCTTATTCTATTGGATACATTAATGTGAGTATGTGACCCGAAGTCCCCAATAGATCTAAGGGACAGTCCCTCCCAAACGCCTCTCCCTCGCCTCAACCATTCTCTGCAGATAAAAAGAATACTCCGTATACAAAAACCCATCGTGGGACAAGGCACCGCAACCCATCATCCATTGCCCGCGGCCGGAAGAAGAACTCTACCCCTAACTCAGTCCAGTCGGAGCCTGTGCGCATCCCGTCGCATCTCTGAAGGTTTTGCGTGTCTGCTGCGCTTCGTAGGTGCGTACCTATTGCTTTCACATGAAGTGCGTTGGTTATTTGCTTTGCTTACCAGTGTGGCGTTATTGCTTCTGATTCGTTTAATTTCTGCACTTATCATGTTGTTTGGGGGCGATTATCTAGTGCGGTGAGATATTTCACCAGACATTTACTTATTGAAATGTTAGTCCGAATCGGTTGATAATGAAACTGGATAATGAGTTTGTATTCCCTAATAATGAAACTTCGATTATCATGTTAGAGTATTTTTGATGAGTTAGGAAAATATGGGTTTCTGTATGGAGGAATTTCAGCAACTTGACACATTCTTGCCACAATTTCATCACCTTCAACCATTTCATGGAAATGTACCCTTGCCGAACATGGTCTTAGTTTTTTATCATCCAAAAGATGGGATCTTTGTCTTCTAAAACAGAACCCCATGATGTTAATTGTATTCATTTAGCTCATTTGCTTGCGCTTTTCATTATTAGTTATATTTTTGGATCAACTAAGGATATCAAATTATCACTTCCAAGTTCCCGAAATGTTTTGAAATTTTAGAAACCTCAAGCCTATCAATGCCACAAACCCTTAAGGTTTAGCATTTTTGAATTGATTGCTCATAGCCTCTCAGCAAGGCTTGGCAAGGCATATTGCTTCAATCATGTCACACACTTCACACACAAAGAAAGTTGACGTATGTCATTTTTTTGGAAGATTGCTAATATGAAATGCTTTAGGGTGATAATCCTTTCCTATCCAATTCGACACAACCTGTCGTGTCAACCAACCCCGCAAGACAAATTTGATTTTCTAAGACTTCCCAGTAAAGAAAATAATGAATTTAACTTTTGAACACCTATCCAACATCAGCGAGCCATTTTCTCAGTGATGCTTCATCCCTCATTCGCTGAATTAGTTTGGTGTTTGGCCAGTGTTTGAATGGTGTGCTGGTCTTCCCTTCAAGCCTTTTAATCCTCCAAGTGTAAAAATGGCAACATAATTGGCTATTGGACAGTATGATGGTCTGTGTGGAGTGTTGACAAGACTGTTCATGCATCCCGGTTTTACCACATTCAAAGTACATGTTTCAACTTTTGTATGTAAAAATTCCAAAAAATAAAAATATTAAAACAACTCAAGTGAGCAAAAAAGAGAAATGGAACAAAATGGTGTCTCAAATGTGTTTTCTTGCAAGCATACACATGTTCCAAGCTTGCATCATCAATATATACTAATTATTGAACTATGATAGGGGTGCCCAATGGCATTTGTTGGACTTGGAAAGGTGGGAAAGGATTCTCCCAACTGTAACAGTTTACAGTGTTTGTGGCTCAAAAGAGCCACTCCACCTCACTCCAAATAGCGTTTTATACTTACAAGATGATTTGTTTTTTTTCAACCACAAACAGTGAAGGGGACGGAAAGTGGCGCATCCAAAAAATCAAACAGTTGGGGGCACAAATTAGGGTTGTGACTTCTCAAACCAAGTAAAATACTAATACAAAGTACAAATATTAAAATACGTGAAATTATACATAAGACTTCTTATTCTCCTAAGTAAATAAGATACATTAGAGCATGAACAAATATAATAGAGTAAATAATACTCCATAATAATTTCTATAACTGTCCCCTAAGAGTTTTCATCTTTTGAAATTGGGATACATTAGAGCCTGAACATCCTAAAATTCTTCCACATGATTCTTCCCTTTTTTATTTTTTATAGGTCCCGCAAGTGCCTGTTACCTCTTATTTTAAGCAACTTTTAACCCCAACCAAAGTTTTCCTAGCACCCCAAAATAGGCCCACATGTTATCTCTTAAATTATTTACAACGATATATTCAAAAATAAATTTAGGGAATCAATGGTGCTTTAGGAAGCAACCATAGCTTCCAAATCTCTACATGTCATCCACCAGGGACCACCACATCCCAAAGGTTCTTGGAGACACCCTTTGCTTTACTAAGAACCTAAGGGAAGCACTTGGGATGTAGATGCTCTTAATAGACATCTTTCCACTTGAAGGTCCACTACCACTTTCATGTTCTTGTGAAGATGAAAATTTTCTTATGAAAAACTTCTCCATAAGTTATCTACCAAATTAAAAACTTATACTAAGTAGTATAGACTAATACGCTTTGTTAATTATAATTTATAAATTCATTATAATGTCATACTCCCTCTGTCGATTATCTTCTCACTTTTTTTTTGGGTTGTCCATTATCTTTCTTCCCATTTCCTAAAATTTCAACTAAACAATAACAACAACAACCCAGTTAAATCCCACAAGAGTAGGGTCTGGGGAGGGTGTGTGTACGCAGACCTTGCCCCTACTCGAAAGTAGAGAGGCTGTTTCCAAAGAGACCCCCGGCTCAACGTCAAAAGTTGCATTGCTTGACTAACTGCTACTTCATTAATTAAAGAAGCGCAAACAGTTTAGAGATCCATTTTGATTTATTCCATCACACCCCAAAGCCAAAAAATGGTGAAATTTTGGCTCCATCGGAGATGATGGAGCATAAAAGACTTACTTTCCCTTGCCCATTATTCTCACATCTAACCCTAACATTAACCCCCCCCCCCTCTCCCCTACACATGTCTAGTTTCTTCTTTCTCCCATTAACCTTTGATCTTCTTGTTTCTTCATCCCACCGTCCTTTGATCTACTTTTTCCATTCCCCCACCCTTGATCTTCTTCTTTTCTTTGGCGATAGTGAAGGTGCAATGGGGAGGGGCGGCGGCAAGATCTAATCGGTTGATTTTGTTTCAATTTTGGCGACGGTTTTTCTCTAAGTGGCATTTGAGAAGAAGAGGCAGGCACGTTTGATTTTGTTGTTGTGCAGGTTTGATTTTATTTTTCTCCAGGTTTGATTTCGGCGATAATTTTTTCAAGTTTTGATTTTGTTTTGATTGGGGTCTATATCAGACCTGGGACAGGTTCAATTCGATGGGGCATGGCAGCTTTGATATGGGGCTCCAATTATAGTTATTGATTAGTATCAATTTTTTTTAATTTGGGGCAGGTTTGAGAAGGAGAAGACGTAGGGGTGGGTTTGAAAATGGAATGGAACACGAAGAGGATGAATGGGCAAAGGGCAATTTTGGAAACTTAACTACTTTCTCATCTTACATTAAAAATTGTGCCAAGTCAAACTGAGAAGTTCCAACATGGACGGAAGGAGTATATGATTCATATAATCACATTGTCAAACATAATTAAGTCACTTAATCAATAATATCAATAATATATAGTCCTTCTATGTTGGACAAAATTGCTCATCTTAGCAGTAAGCATTTGCTTACCTCGCTAATATGCACCAGTCCATGGTAGAATTTGCTTAATACATAACCATATGAATTAACACCATAATTACATAAAACCTAATATAAACAAGTAACTATAGTATTTTTGAGATAAATCACACAATATAAAAATTAAAACAGAATTTTTTAAAACATAAATAGTCAAAGTTTTGAAATAGAATGAAGACTTCAAGACTAAGAGAAAGTGTGAAAGACAAACTAAGAACTTTAGAAGAATACCAAACTAGAAAAAACTGTCTCCAGTGGAAAAACACTGCCTCCGGGGCCTTTTCAGTTGTCGCACACTCGCACTCACAATTATTGGATTTCTTGCCATCGCCCGCCTTGCTCGCCCGTTTCCCCTGTTGCTTATATGCTTTGACTTTGTACTTTGTGAGTGTTATTTTTTTTTTTGAGAACCTGCTCAGTCACATATCATGGCTCATA